GAGGGGGAGGAGGAACGAACAGGAGGGACCCAACAAACCAAAAGGAAAACAGTATTTCAGTCTTTCATTTATCCTCTAAAAACAAGTCACATGGTAATGTGATGAGTCAATCATATCAGTCTATACGCTATGAAGGTAAAGATTTTACATATGACACAAAGGATGTCCACTTGTGGGTAAATTTTTCTGAACTACCTTTCACTGTTAGTAAAATTTTTTCCATCTTCAAGTATAATCTTACAGTATTAAGCCATTGTGATGTGGATGGTGGTGTGGGAGATTTCCAGGCGAGCAAAATACAACGTCTGGCAAGGAGAGAGCAAAAGGCCAAGACCTCCCCCTGCTGGCGGGATAGATTAAGTGTGGTCCCAGGAACTCCAAAAATAGCAATAAGTGGATCACTTTGAAACTGAATCTTAAAAACTCCTGAGAGTATGGAGAAAAAATATTTCCAAAACCCTTGCAGTTTTGGGCAGAAAAAGAACATATGACTTAAGTTACAAGGTGAAGTCTGACATCTATCGCACTGGTCTGGTATTGAGGGGAACATTTTAGATAAACGTGTTTTTGAGAAGTGTACTCTATTTATTACTTTAAATTGTATTAACTGTAGTCTGGCACATGGTGTACTCTGACGTATGCTGAGAATAACTTTATCCCACCATGAATCTGATAGTTTAACACCCAGTTCACGTTCCCATGCAGTTCTAGTTTTACCCGATGAATCGGCCTCTATTGCCATAAGTTTTCCATAAATAATTGAAAGAGGAGATTTCAAATTGGGGCTCAAAACTAAGAGTTCAACCCATGGTGGGTCAGTAGGCAAAGCTAGAAAATTTTGAAACTGCGATGAAACGCAATGCCTAATTTGGAAGTAAAGAAACAAATGTGAAGTGGGTAGATTAAATTTAGAAGACAATTCTGAAAAACTAAGAAATAAACCATCTTCGTACAGGTCTCTCATTGTTCTAATACCTTTCTCATACCAAATTCTATAGGCAGCATTATTAGATGCTGGAGAAAAAATGTGATTCTTTAGTAACGGCATTTTATTAGAGGGTGATACAAATTTAAAGTGGGACCTAAATTGTGACCAGATCCTGAGTGTTGAGAGCACTATAGGATTTGTAGTAACTGAGGATAATTTAATTGGTAATGATGAATAAATAATTGAAGCGGGCGAAAAAGATGCA